TTCAATAATGAGCAAGGACCAATAATCGAGCCAATTAATTAAGTGCCTTGCTCATACATATCAACAGAGCTATCAACTTCTATAGTCAATAGTTGGTGTTTGGGGAGAACTTTTGGGTGTCTGTAGAATTACCAATATTAGAATTGTGAAGTGAATCTGTGACTCGACCCAATGTAATCTAATCCCAAAGCAACAAAATGCAACTACAAAAGTCTCCCCGAGGCTTAAACAAATAAAAGCTAACACAAAACAAAGTAAACGAAAAATTAAGAGCAATTTGGGTAAATGCATATCAAATAAAAAATCAAAGAAATATTCTTAGCGCTAATCATGAGTCATTCTTTTGTAGATAAATTACAATTTAACATGCGCATAACAATTTTTATTTTCATAACATTAATGAGTATTTGCAAGCTAAGTAAATAGAAAATGCCACCTTACATGTAGAAATTAAGTAAACTAATTCAGTAATGCTATATTAAAAAAAAAATAAAAATAAAAGTAACGCTCATTGATGAGTCGATTTTATACTATATATCATTCCCTATTCTTGGTATATTTTGGTTATTATTTTGGTGATATTTTGATACTTTCCTGTGTGTTTTTAATGTAGGACATGCGAGCTTGTTCTGAGAAAAAGTAATCAAACAGTGGAATTTTTGAGTGATTCCAATTGAAGCGGGTTCGCCAATCTGTCAAGAAGGTAGTGTCAAAATTTTATAATTTTATCTAGAAGCAGCAGATCGTGGCGAATTAATTTATGCACAGCGTGCAATACAGGCAGATTGGGTTGTAGAGCTTATTTGTGACTTTTGGGTTGGAATATGATGAATTTTGGACTTGGGCTCTTCTTGGAACTTAAAAAGGAGGTCCTAATCTTTAATTCGAGTCGTTTTGGGCGTATTTTGGGAATCATGATCCTCTCCTGATCCAAGAATGAGGATCCTCATGACCAAGCAGTGTGGACCGTTAGATGAAAATCCAACGGTTATAATTATTATAACTTTAAAGAGAAAACCCCCCTGTTTGTAGCCGTTGGATTTTCATCCAACGGCCCACACTGCTTGGTCATGAGGATCCTCATCCTTAGATCATGAGAGGATCCTGATCCCTATTTTGGAGCCCTGAAGGTCCAGAAATGTGGCTATCTCTTTGATGGGCAGATTTCCTAGTTAGAATAGGAATGTAATTCCTAGTTATCCCCTTATTATTTTATTTTTTAGTTTTTTAGAAAACCTTTTCTATGAGGGTTTTAATTTGGAGTAGTATAAATAAGGCTTTTTAGCCATCAGAGAAGGAGAGAAGAAGAGGAGAACGCAATCACACTTTAGAGAGTTTTTCAAGTTTATTTTTTAGGTGTTGTCTATTCTTATTCTCATTAATAATTTGTTTTATGATTGTTCGTAGTTAGTTTCTTTTGCTAGGGTGAAACCTTGAGCCTTAGCAAGAATATGTAGTTTCTTTTCAATTTGCTTATGATATAATGCATGCATGTTTTGATTTATTAATCACCGTTCTAAACTATCTAAGTGTCTTAGTGATTGGCGACCATTAGGATATTTAGAAAAGTAATTTGATGCAATTTTGGTCGGAAGGTTCCCTGAAATTGGTGTTGGTTTCTTGTGGTTAGTAATTGTAATTTCACTTAAGATGAATTTCACGTCTTAAGGGTTGTATGGTTTTTCAAAGGGTTTTCATAAAACATAATGAGTCTCTCATGTTCATATTTGATCCGAACGTCTAGACGGGTTGCATGTTAGATATACGTTCTATGTTGGAGGTTCCAAGTAGAATATATATTAGGAAAGCCTAACCTTTGAAATATACATGGGCAATTCATAAGTAATTGGAAGAATTACGTAGGATGGTTAAGGTGACAGCTGAACCCTAGGGCTTTTACAAATTGATTTTCTTTAAATTTGTTTCTAGTTGATTTATTTAATTGTCTTTATTTTAAATTCGTTTTTAATATTTTAAGTCACAAAATCAACCTTTTCCAAAATCTTGTTCAAATAATTATTAATAATTAGTTTAAATACAAATTATTCATTCAATTCCTGTAGAAAACGACCTTACTTGAGCTGCTATACTACGATAACTTTGTACTCTTGCAAGTATTTATAAGTATTTTTATCTCTACTTTTACAGGTGGTAAAAATCCTGTCACTCTTCAATTAAGGGTGTATCTTCAGTATAGTCAGTAAGACTACAAACATGTTTCCTCCCACACTCTATTAGGGTGCTGAGCCCCTTTCATCCAAAGAGCTCATATCATGTTTGTAGTTAATTTAATTGCCTAGTTAAACTTTACTCTTTCTTTTTGTACGTTCTGCAACATAAAAAATTACCAAAAACATTATTCATCAGAGATCATGAGAGAACATGTAAAGAAATGTTTTTCGCACATTTTTTTTTTTTTGCACATACGTGTTATTTTTTGTCTTCTAATTCTCTTTTAATTATCAAAAGATGAACAAATAAACAAAGTACATCTATAGAAAGTAGGGATGGTCAATGGGTGCTCATGGATACTCCATATCCTATCATCATCGTCACAAGCACAAACACCACCACTCACCGCCATAGATAACACATATCTATACTTAAATGGTCCTCTATTTAACTAAATGAGTACCCATTAACCATCCTAATAGAAAGTAGGAAGTATGCTGAAATCACTTTCCACCGTTCAGAAGGAAGGGACCAATTAAGGTACTAGTTTTGGCTAGGACCACATTGTTTACTAGGACCAAAAGAGGAGGACCATATTTCATCCTCTGCGTGCTCAAATCACAGAGGGTGAAACTGAAAATGAAAGCTAGTTCACCAGGTGCATGCATAGCTCAGTTTCAACACTGGCAACTACGTACGTAGTCGATCAAATCACTTGAGAGCTCACTTGCCGATTAAATCAGCTGCCTCTTTACTTCTCGTCTCAAACAACAAATAGTAACTCAGTAGACTTTTGAGGAAGAAACAAAATTATTGTGGACTTTAGCAGGATGCATGATTGGACGTTTGATCTTTGATTTCTAACGGCACATGATTTTTCTGCCATCTAAATTTCCATCTTCGTGAATTACAAGAGAAGGTCAGGATGCGGGGTTGAAAGCTTCGGCTGTTGCAATACATTTTGAGGAGGTACACGTGCAACATAGAGTTTTAGCACCCTTTGCCTTTGGACGGAGGAAAATTAAAGAAAATTAAAGATTTGGATTTGATGGCTATTAATTATAAAATTCAATGATGAATATGGCTAGCCACTTAGTATTACAATTTAGTGGTATTCTTCTTTATTTGTAAGTGAGAGATCCTAGGTTCGATTATCGCTAAAGGTGAATTTGAATCACATTATTGCTAACTGCCCACTCCTTCATCCCTTTAGTATAAATAATATTGTTTGTTCAAAATAATAAAATATGACTATTACAAAGTAAGAAAAGCCCAATAGAAAGGTAGCCCAAAATAACAAGTATAACTTCATCCCAACATATGAAAATTACAGTGAAAAATGCCAAACAAGAGATCGTCTACGGCAAATTCTGAAGTAAAACTCTAATTGTGCCAGAACACCCTCACTAAGCCAACACCGATAATGATACTTTGTTGAAATTGAGTTTCAACGTGGGTATTCTTTCATTGTAAGTAACCGAAGTAGTAAATTAGGAAAGAAAAAATCCAACAATCATAAGGTTCCATCCACTTGTCATGTTTTACTTGTGGCGCCAGTCTTCCATTGTAAAGCAAGAATGATGCTTTGTCAAACTATTTTGAAGTGTTTTTTAAGTAGTGTAATTTTGTTAAGGGCTTATATGTAAACACGTAAACGGAAGATGTGTCAAGAATAAAAATATTCATGTATTATCTATTCTCGAAATTTTCAAAAATGAAAAAAATACTTATAATGTTGTGAAATTGAGGAATATAAAGTAAATAAGATATAATATTTACGAGTTTCGGCAAATACATCCTTGAGATAGTAGCAGTAGTCTCTCTCATTGTCTAACTGAACTTACAAAGCAATGGAAACAATAGATTGTTTATCTTCTCTTTTACTGCTTGTCTTACATTTATGAGCTAATAAGCCTTTACATAGAAATTGTGAAACGTGCTGCTTATGAGAATTTGGTAGAAATCCTTAAAATTGAATGAGTGGAGACCCACTTTTCTTGATTTCGTCTATACATGAAAATCCATAATAACATGCACCTCTACAACAGGAAATAAATTGTAAGATGGGCATTAGATTTACTTAATTAGATCAATGAAGAAGACCTGAAGTTTTAAGTTAGCTACTGCGCGCACATTTTTAATTAATTTTGTTCTCCTTTCGCTTAATTGATTATAGTATAAAAATAATACGTTAGCCCTCGGCCAGTCGGCCTGTGCCCATAACCCTCGGCCAGCCTATAACCCCTCCATAAATTCGTGCGCACTTTCATACTTCGCGAGGCAAGCGGCTCTCACTGCTTTCTTTGTTTTCCTTAGTCATCATTATAATACTAGTTTCCATTTAGCAACCCAGCTTTATTTTATAGATCCCCACTTGGACCGAGTTTGTATTAAATGACCGATGTGGGACACAGAGTTTATAAAAGAAAGCTTGCCTTCTCTTCTTCCTGTAGGCTTCCAAAACTAGTTCTGACTTTTAGAAGAAGTGTTCTAAGCAGTTCGATTTTTAGATTCTTTGGTGTCTATGTATAGGTGAATCCATTTCTATATTTCGAGAAATACATGGAGTGATTATGTTCTCATCGGTTATACCCGTGCATCTGCATCTCTCATCACGTAACTCATAGATGTGTATAAACGGATGACACGCAAGATTCAGCAAAGCCAAAAGTCTTATGGGAAGCCATCCACCTCCATGATTTATTGAACCACTGAAACCATATCGGTACTAGTAGCAAGAAACAGAAATCAGAAGAGTACGTACTGGTGAAGTTAGATCGATTGAAGAACAACGCCTTTATAACATCGAACGTGGCGTAAACATTTGTTTCTCTACATTTATTCAAAGCACATTACTTACAATTTGGCTTTTTTCTTTTAACAAGGAAGCTCGTGTATTACATTTTACAACTACAAAGGAGCCTAATTACATGAAATAATCAAAACCCTGAACAGCTAAAGAATGGGATTGATGTGATTGAATACAAAGCCGCCTAGCAAAAATATAGGCATCATATATTACATGCCATCAATATCAAGAAGATTTTCGTGACAATAGCCGCTCCAACTGGGGATCAATCTGGGTGCCAGACTCCAGTTCGGACACCGATGAATCCTCTGCTCGTTGCCAGACTCCAGTGCCAGACGAAGGGTCTGCTGTTTTAGGCGTCTCCCTTAAGCTCTGGAAGTGCCGAAGGCAAACTTGAACTGCATCGTGCACTCTCACAAAGTACCACTCCTTACCAATCAGGTCCACTACATTTGAGCTTGATAAAGTCATCAGAACTTCTCAATTGGGATTGGAAATGGCTATCTGCATCACACGCAGAAGGGTTTCAGCAACATGTTAATAGCAGTCTCCTAAACAATGACCAGAAACAACTCCACCAGAACAGAAACTCACCTGGATATTACGCGGCTCGTACTCCTGATGTAAGTCTATAAAAGCTTGGACAGCGCTGGAGTCTATGTATGTTACAGTTGCAACACGATAATGATACAGTTCAGAAAATCACCAGACCTTATTTAGAAAGTTCTGAACAAGCTCAGCAGGCATGATACAAAAGAGACAAGTCCATGGAATTTTTCGAGAGCTAGAAACAACAATGCATGACTTCCCGAAATATTTCCAAAAATAAATCACTGAATTAGATGACTTAACAGACAACGTCAAATAATAATTGAAAAGCATCAGCTTAGATTTTGCTGGGAACTGAAACATCCATGTCAATCAAATGTGGTATATATTTGCAGTATGCAGAACTGGAATTCTTTCGAATGTTTAGCAATATTATTGTGTTTGAACTTTGAATGAATATCTGATCACTAAATGCTTCTTCATAACCCATGAGAAGAACAAATTCCAAAGAAAAAAGCACAGGATTAGCAAAAACTAGCGTGCCATCTCTATGTTCACAAAATAAATTCTTTCAACTTCTGGTCCGCGACTAGCAGACCTATCAACCTCAACTTCTGGTCCGCGAAAGGCAATTAAATTAACTTGAATATGATTCCTTAACTGGGGAAAACTAACACAACTGAAGAGACTTGCTAGGTAAATAAACAGTTAGATTCACAGAACATCAAAATGGCACAACCTGAAATTGTACCTATCCTTTATGTAACTAATGTTTGCAAAATAAATAGGTGCGTCAATTCGAACAATCACAATTCCATTGTATGTAATGCTTCTGGATACTGTTGAATATTTCTATGTACAGTGGTGCCGGGAAGACGCCACAAGACAGCTGCAACATACAAGAAATTATAAGCAAATTCGGTATTGGCATACCCTGAAGAAATGAATCTTGATTCCAAATAGAACTACGAAGATAAGAAGTTTTGCTTTTAGCTTTTACTGGCAAACCCCAAAAAGGTTACATGGAGGGAAAAAAATTATTTTGCCAGCGTAAATGGAACGGCCAAGGGCTTCATTATCATTAGATGCAACTAGCAAGAAAATCTTGGCATCTTCTTTAGGCTCCAAGAGGCCAAAGAAAATCCAGACAACAACAATATCGTTCCTGTTAAGCAAGGAATCGAAGTTTCGGACTTTTAGCAGAGATGACGATGACATTCAGAAAGGTAATCAGAGATGACGACGATGATGAAAACTATAGAAAGAACAAGAGAACAGGATGGACTTCATTACTTGAATCATTGAAAGTTGAAACATGAACCGAGTTAAACACATAATTCAGGAAGCTACGAACAAGGTGCATCTACTTATGTGCACATAATTTTAGGATAAATTGAAATTGCACTTACCAATATGCGGGTTTGCTGATTCATGGATGACAAATGCAAAGGGAAACACCAGCGTGCAATCACACAAGCACATTAAAACTGTATGAATTGAAAAAGGAAACAGAGAGAGAGAGAGATCATCTGGAACTTCAATGATCTATATGAAATTTGCATTGGAATCTATTGCCACAAAAGGTTGAGCTAATAAGAACACGACAACGATATACATGTCAAGCTAATGCGAACTAAATTCGAAAACTTGTCTTGCATGCATATCAAATTAATTGTCATCTGAGATTGAGGTACTGAGGCAACATTGGATTCTTATCATGAAAAAGTTGTATTTAACACAACAAATGACAGTTCTTACGCCTTAATCAGCCTTTCTGTATGAAAATGTGGATTCTTTTGGGTAGAAGTTGGAACAAGGTCTCCCAAAAATAACATTGCTTCAAGGACTCACCCCAATAAGGACGCCAATCTCAATGCCAAGGAACAATGTCGTAGTGGCTGTAATGGTCCAAAGAAGAAAATCTTTCTTATCTACACCCCTTAAAAATATAGCCTCGACATAGTCCACCTGAATTTCGATAGAAAAGAGTTGTTGTCTGAGTAACGGTAGTAACCAGTTCAATTATCTCGAAATATCAGCGCACAGTGACAGAAGCAGAATCCACAAATGGAAAATAAGTAACCAGTTCAATGACATGGTAGCTATCATTCTCGAAATATCAGCGCACATGTCAATGATAGCTACCATGTCATTTTCTTTGCTATCCACTAGCCAGAATGGAACTTTTCTTCTTCCATGAATATGCATAAACTCAAATTGCAGGTAATACGGATACATGTTTTAGGGATATTAACTTTGGCTGCATAAAAGCTAATAAACAAATTTCAGAATATCACAGCAGATATCACAATGGCCGCCAGAGCACACTGAAGTATGAGAAAATAAATACCAAAGTTAGAACATGAAAAATATACACCCGAATGGAATGATAAGCATGCGACAACCAATTAAGCTTTAACCAAAAGTGCTTAAACTTATATTTGGATTCACTTCTGTTGTTAATAATTCCAGCTGCTGCATGCCATGCTTGATGATTAATCAGTAAATTTTGTTAAATGTGTTGCATGTAAAGATTGAATACATTGAGGACAAGTCTTTTCTTAAATGTGTTGCATGTTAAGATTAAATTTTGTTAATAGTTGTTGGAGCAAACATGTTTTTATTTAAATATTCATATATATTTAAGTTTTGTTTTATTACAACTATTAAATATGAGTCTCTTAAATATATAACTGTCATTTGTTTTTAACCTAATCAATTCTCCTCCACTTAAAGTTGTAACGTGAGAAAACTTCTCACTTGAAAAATAAATTTTTGAAAACCCCTCCTCTGTACAAAGAAGAAGACCAGGTGCATATCCATCCGTTTGGCCTTTTTTATTCCTCATAATTCTTTTACGTTTTCGTCCGGCTTTCTAGCAAACAATTAACACCTCAACGTTCATTTCTTTTGGTGTGTGTGTGTGTGTGTGTATCTATATCTATATCTATATATATCTATGTCCTTAGCATCGGTATGTAGAGATAGAAAAGAAAACAAGTTTACATATATACATATCTTTTGTGAAATTAAGTTTTGATAGCAACGTATCAAAATGGTGCAAGTTTGAAGGTTTTTCCACTGTGCAAGGAAAAACTTTATCAGAAGAAGAAAGTTATGCGTTGTTTTATTCTAAGGTTGTTTGTGAACTGCTTGCACACTTTGGGAAAAGCCGTGAAATGTTTTAAAGAGAGCAAATTTATTCGCGACTCATCCCAAGAATCATTTGTCAGTCAAGGCTAACTACATTTTTTGGATAACTTCGTTGCTTTCTATTGCATATCAAATGTCAGCCATACAAAAGGCTACCTCCTCATTGTACACTCTATAATTGTGGTGTGTCCTCCAATCAACATTTTTGGGCCCTTTCCTTGAAATTGTTTTTGTGCATCGAACCTCCTTCCTCAAGCCTCTTTTATCCAACCGTTGAATGCCAAATTGATTTAGACTCTTATCAGGGTAATGATATGGTCTCTTTTCAAAAGAGATAAGGATGGTTCGGGACCTTCTCAATTTTTCTTGCCCACTTAAGTTGTCTGGAGAATTTTCAGGCAACCTTTTGTATGGATGTCATTCGATCTGCAATAAGTAATTGATATTAAAAAACCACTTCAATTCGCCAAAAACAAAAAAATCAACCAAAATATATTTACATCTTCATCTCCGATCTCACATGTCTAACAATCTTCCTAGATCATGGACAACTCCAAAATTGCTACTAGTGGATTTCTTCAATAATTCCGTCCAACCCACTAGCAACGGAAAATCCATGGGAAGATTTGGTTGCGGATTTGCACCCAAAAATAGCGATGCAATCATAGGAATAAGCTCCATTGCAAAATTCTACATTTAAAGACCAAAAACAATAAATAGTTAATCTAATGTAAATGTACAAAGAAAAATAGCACATGAATATCACATGAAATTAATACTTACCATCAAGCAACCAGGATCCGCGCCGGATCCATTCCCTAGGGATCCTAGGGATCACGCAATCGTATTCGTTCACCGTATATCATGCGGTCATAAATCATTTAAAATTTAAAATTTAAAATTCAAATATAAATAGTACCTAACAAAAACTGAATGCACTATATACGATAAACGGACACGATTACGTGATCCGATCCCTAGGGAATGGATCCGGTGAGGATCCTGGTTCACCATCAAGGAGTAAGTATGTCCCATCACACAAAATGACGCCACATTTGAAATACCGCTTTTGTAGTTTGCTATGCTTTTCTTAACATTTTCTAATGAAAAGTGTAGGTGCGCTAATAAAGCAGCATCTAGGTATCAATCTCTTGGATACTCTCCAAGAGAGGAAGAAAAACAGCTTGGGCTTTACATGTTTAGTCCGGTATTACAATTGCAAATAATATACAAAGGTTTACTCTCTAACATAAGGTAACAACTGTGGACTATCTACACCTATTTCATGTGGCACTACCTCAAACTTTTCCTCAAGCCACTTGAATTTTATACTTCCCCGTTTAACCACAAAATCCTCCCCAAAATAGTGGCGCAACATATATTCTCCACCATAATCATTTCCAGAAACAGCTTTGCCATCAACTAGCAACCCAGTGATGTATGAAACATCATCTAGGGTAAACACTAACTTGCACCCACTAGGAAGCACGAAACATCGGTCTTTCATATTGTAAAGTTCAACCAGAACTGATAATAAAGTCATGTTATGTTCGACCCTGTGGCTGTGGGTGAGGCCTAGAAACCTATAAAAACAAGTATTTCTAATCTTCTTAAGAACTCTTATCATCCAGTTTCCAGGACCCCAAATTAGTTATAAATAAAACATCGAGAATTCAACTCTAAATTTTCAGTTTTAAATCGTTGATCACAAAATACAAATTATAATAAATTTTACACGAAAAAATATATTTTTGAAGAATATGAATATGATAGTTTGTTATAGTGGTAAGAGAAATAAAAAAAAAAATTAACAAAAGATTCAAATTCTTGGGGTGCCAGAAAGTCATGCGTTCGTAGAGCCCGGCACGTGTTGTGTGCTTGGGTTTGCCTTGTCCTGCATGTGAGGTTTTTGCATCGTTTTGCGTGCTAGAAGCCTGTCCCTTTTTGCATCCACGAGGCCCCATCGATTTGGCGTGCACGGAGCCAGCTTCATTTTCAGTGCGCAGGGCTGGCCTCGATTTCACGTGTGACTTTCTGGTACCCCAAAAATTTGAACTATTTTTGTACTTATTTGTTAGTTTTGCTTTTATTTCTCTTACCACTACAACAAAATATCATATCATGTTCTTCAAAATATATATTTTCCGTGTGTGAAGCCCGACTCGTTTTTTAAGCACCTGAGAGTTCGCATCATTCTACATGCACGAACCCTGCCTCATCTTGTATACCTGGGTTCACCTCATCCTGCATATGAGGTGTTCGCATCGTTTTGCGTGTCAAAAGTCAGCCCCTTTTTGCATCCACGAAGCTCGCGTTGTTTTGGCATGCACGAAGCCAGCCTCGTTTTTCATGCGCAGTGTTGGCCTCGATTTATGCAATGTATCCCGCCTTGTTTTGCATGCTTAGACAAGGACGAAAAAAGCTTGATGTATGAAACGTTAAAAACCAAGAAACTTTAAGGTAGTAAACTAAAATTGACCCAAATCTTTATAATGTATTTGGAAACGGATTTATGATTTATTGAGCAACAAGTGTATATTTAGTAGAATATCTAAGCCAAAAAGTAAAAAAATAAATGAAAAATGTAGTGAGGCCCCAAACGTTGTCAAATGGGGTTCTACAATCAAGAATATCAACAAAAAGTCTCACCTTAATTTTCAAAACTTCACAATGAGGCGAAGGTGAAAATAAATAGATTGAACGATGATTTATGGACAAATTTGCAAAACCGACTAAAAACCGTGAGTTATCCTTCTCGGTTCATGTGTTGGTTTTGCTCATGCGAACAATGAAATTGTCATAAAACTTTTTAGATTATGAAACATCATCGTCGACAAATTTAATCTTTATAGTTTGTAATGTATTTTTGTCAAACTTTTATATTATGACCACCCGACATTATAATTCAGAATCTGTTACTGAAGGGGAATAAGGTCAACTAGTAGGTTGTTCTTTTATAGGTGCATGAGACCCAAACACACATGCTATTTTCCCAATGTTACAAGAATCCCAGCTTGTTCTTGACGCCTACCAAATAACTACACATTTTCAGTTTAATATTGCCTTCCATTCGGAATCGATTCTAGTATACAACGTTGAAGATAATAATAAATAGAAATATCCCGACTTTTATGAGTGTGATTGTGCATGCTCGGGCTTGTGACTGAATTCGTAATCCAGATGAACAAAGGCGCGCTCAATTTCGGGCAGGAGCTCAAGCTTCTCCTGCAGGTTTTCCCCTATGTCATGAGCCTCTTGTAAGGGCATGTCAGCCGGCAGGACAATGTCAACCTCGACGAAGTAGTGAGAGCCAAAGGTGTAAGCCCGGACTGTATCGATATGGCGTATTGCCTTGTCATGGTTCCAGCAAAG